AATCACATTCACTGAAAATGAAGAAATGGCATAACTGAAAAGGCTGTTTTTTACATTCCTTTCCTGATCCAAAAGCATACACATTTCACAAACCAGCAGAAGGCAGGAAAGGTTATGATTCAGACCACGGTTCAAGTTACTCAGTGAAAGTGAGGATGCTATATCTAATAAGCACACTCAGAATAATGTCACTGGGTAGGCATGTGCTGAAAAAAATAATATCTGTAGTCAGACAGAGATAAGCCCTGTGTCTCATAAGTTAAGTTCCCCATGTTGAAGTTTGAAAGATCCTACTGTTTCCTTGATAATAAAATAAGGCTGAAGCAAAATATTCCACCCGATTGAGATCTAATCACTGTTCTAATTGATTTTATAAAGAGTAAAAAAGCTTCAAGAACAAATTCTTTCTGGACAAATGTGCAAACTTACAGATAAATTACATATTGTAACAAGAAGTTTAGTGTATATGCACACTGAACAAATGGAGAGAAAAACACAAATAAAAGCCTCCTCAAGCCAACTTTCATATTTTTCTGAACATTATTTCCTGTGTCTACCATAAAAAATGCCAAAACAACCTCAACTTCTCCAGAGACAGATATTTTAAGAACTCACCTTATTCCTAAAAGTGAATTTCATATACAGGCATCAGTGTTATTTGTCTGTGCCTACTTGTAAATAGAGCTTAAAAAGCAATTGTACTGTTTTATGATGTGAAAAATACAGATCAAAGCTGTCCCCAGACACTGAGACCAAATCATGTTCACTATGTTAGCCCACAATCCTTTATCTGATTTAATTTATAGACAGAAACCTGAAACAAGGCTTTTGGGTACCAAAACACAACCAGATTTGTTAAAGCACTGTTGGGTTCATATACAAGGCCATGTTTTTAAGAACCCAGTTATTTTATTTTTTACAATAGTTACAGAAACAAATAAACTGAGAACACTTTGGTTTTATGATTTTTTTAAATTATATATCAGATTTCAGACAAACAATAACTCCCTATCAAAGGCTGCAAAAAGAAATTCAAAAGTAAAAAGAGTAAAACCTTCCTAAAAGAGTGGCAAATCTCAAACACAAATTATCTTGACCACAGATTATATGCATAAAAGGCAAGAAAAAAAACAAGTCTTTGAGACACTGGAAAAACAAAAAGATCAAGACAATAAACATCTTGTAACTGCACACTATAATTCTCT